TGGAGAGTCACTTTTAGGAGTGGGCGCGGAAGTCCTCTGGAGGTGGTAACAATGGAGTAGACCTCAACTTGTGCTAAAACTATGAAACCCTGCCCATACCGAACATGTACACAGAGGCTCCACAGTGGGGAAAAGCTTCATAACCAGGGTATGGTGAGCAAATGAGAAACCAATAGGAAAATAACACGGATAACATGAGGAACACGGGCTAGATTTACAATTTAACTCTAGTTAAGGATAACCACTGGAGTTTGGGGAACAGGAATTACATGACACGGTCTGCGCTGAAAGGTTCACTCTGGCCCTGTAGAGAAACTGGACCATAGGCGGGCAAGAGCTGCTTTAAGTTACTTGCTACAGAATGATACCGGTGGTGGTCAAAAGTGCTAGATGTCTCAAGAGACTTCTATAGTAGAACTGTCTGGACTTAAGGGCCCAAATTAATAGACCTGAGCATCTGCATGAACAGAAAGCGTTAATGAAGTAATTTGGAATATCTGAGACACTCAAGATGTTTAGAATGAGTTTGGAGTTTTGAGGATTTGGGGAACTACAAATACTTAGGAGTGACTAAAACCCTGACTATATTAAAAATCATGGAACTGAATGAATCACCTAGTGGACAGTATAGAGATGAACTCTACTTCAGACCTATAGAAAAACCAGCAGAGGACACTGAACAAGTAGCAAGTCAGGAAATCTGTAGAACGCATCCACCTCTACCACCCACCCCCACACCTTAACTTTATGTTGCACTCATTTCACAAGGGAGGTTACTTCAATAAAACTTACCTCTTCTCTCTCTTGGCCCATACCTTTTTTTCAGTCTTTTAAATGTCAGATTTATTAGGCAACCCACCATCCCCATTTAAATCCTTCAACAGTTTCTAATGTTGAGACAAATTTTAACATGGCATGTAACTATAAAGCTGACTGTAGTAGCCCTTGCCTGTTTCTCTAGCCTAATCCTTAACTTTCTATGGGCTTTGTGCATGCTAGGCAAGCATTCATCACTGAGGAATATATCCTCAAGCCCTTTTTTTTAAACTTGAGGCAGGACCTTAGTTATCCACACTGGCCTAAATCTTGATTCCTGCCTCAGCCTCCCACTTAGTTGGATTACAATCATGTACCACCTTCCCCAGCCAGCTTATCCTTAACTCCTTCTACTTGAGCTGGACAGCATTCTCAAATCACTGGGGACTAGACCGTTGGATACGCCTTTCCCCTGTGTCTAGATGAATACTCTTCACCCTCCAAGTCTTAGCTCAATGATGCCTTTCAAGTCTCTCCTGACCAGTCTGAATGGGTCATTCACTAGTCATGCTCTTCCATCTGTCATGAACCATGCTGTTCTACCTGCCATTTACCACACTTACTACTACATTAGTGTCTTTGAACCACAGTATTTTTCTCACCCAGAGGACAGCAGGGTGCCTGACAAGCATAACCAAATTTGCTGAATGAGGCCTTAGTTAAGTGGCTAGGCATCTCCCTAATACTGAAAGCTAGTGACACCGTTTTGCAAATCAGGAACAAACTGCTGGTCTTTCACGGCCTACATTTAAGGATCTAGGCTGCTGCACAGAAAACTGAATCAGGCTTCAGAAAAGCTTGTTAAAGTAGGCTATGAGAAGGGCTATGGATCGAGACAGCAGAGTGGTCTAGCTTTCTCAGAAGACTGCCCAATAGGTCTTTCCTTCTCTCACAAGGAGCACTTCATTGGAGATTTGCTGGATGACCACCACAGCAGGCTTCACTCAAGACAATGAGCACTCGAGTTTTCATATAATTTAATCTAATGTAACTTAAAATATTTACTAGTCTTTTCCAGTATTTTTTATAGAATTCAAAATAAGAAAAGGGCCAGGCATGGTGGTGCATGCCTGTAATCCCAGCACTTGGGAGGCTGAGGCAGGAGGATTGCTGTGAGTTTAAGACCAGCATGGGCTACATAGTGAGTTCCAGGTCAGTCTCAACTACACAGTGAGATCCTGTCTCAAAAAAAACTAAAAAAAAAAAGAGAAAAGGTAGAGTAATGAACCTTAACAATTTAATTTTCCTGGAGTTCTTTCTCCCTTTTAGCCCCATAAAAAGGACAAGATCAAGGGCAATACTGACTCTTGAAAGGGCAGCAAAATAAATACTAAAAGTGCTTACTAAGAACTAAAGTGGAATGCAGATTCAGTACCTTCAAGCGGAAATGAAGTATATAATATGCTGCTTATCAGTATCTCATTTCCACTAATTAGATATACCATTTAAAAAAAAATGAACAAGTCAGGTGTGGTGGTGCATGCCTGTAGTCCCAGCACTCAGGGGCTAAGGCAGGAGGACTGCCGCGAATTCAAGGCCAGCCTGGGCTATGTAAGTTCAAGGCCAGCCTGAACTGTGTGCACTAAGACCCCATATCTCCAAAAACAACAAAAGATATATATATATATATTAAAACAAAACAATTTCCTACAGCACTTAAGCTCATTGGCCTTCTACATTTATGAATTGGTTATCAACTAAGCACCTCAGTTAATAAGCTTAATAAGCACACATTGGCATGTGTCCTGTAGGTGGCAAGTCTCCTTACACAGAGGTGTATGCATAAGGAGACAAAAGAACTGGTAGAAGATAACCAATTAAAATCATTGAACAATCATTTTAATATCAAGATACAATGATCAGGAAAAAAATCTTCCGTATTTTTAGGAATATTAGGATCTAGAAATACAATTGCCCTGACCAAGATACTAACATTTTGTCTTTACTAAAGATTTTTAAAAAAGAAAGTTTCATTATCCATGTGAGGTGACTGATACTGTGCATGTACCAAAGTATTTTACACGTGGTCTTGCTACACCAAGAGGCTACAGTCACATGTGGGACCATCATTGCCTTGTAACTCTGCTAGAATATACATTTGACCAAACAACACACTTGCTGCACCTAAGACAAGCATTCAAATATTACACAGAATACTGAGTACCAAGATTCTGATCTTCATGTGTCTTTTTCGAAAGTTCTCTGTCCAATAATGAGGTATTCTTTAAAAATATGGTCTTGAGACGTAAAAAACTGTATGATAGGATAGGGCCAGGGATTTGGCTCAGTGGTTCCGCCACCTGCCTTAGCAAGTGCAAGGGCCCAAGTTTGATCCCCCGTAACAAAAAAAAAAAAAAAAAAAACCTGTTAAAATGTCCCCCAGAAATTACAGTATTTCTAAAAGAAACACCTCTTAAAACACAGAATAAAACTACAGACACCTTTACACATTCATATCTACACTAATGCATAAATGTTTGAAACCCAGGGGCTAGGGATTTAGCTCAGTTGGCACCACACCTGCCTTGCAAGCACAAGGTCCAGAGTTTGATCCCCACTACCCAAATAAAAAAAAAAAAAAAGAAAAGTTTTGAGCCAGGGATTAAGCTCAGTGGTTCCACAGCCTGCCTTGCAAGCAGGACCCAATTTCAATCCCCGGTACCAAAAAAAAGGTTGTAACCCAGGAGTATTTCTCATCTCATCTCTCTGAACTGATACTGACCACTGGGGGGGGGGGCGCGCTCAGGTTTCATTTTTAAATGTCATGAAATTATTTTCTACATAGGTAATAAACGGATTTCTATAGGATCGTAAGCACACATTATCTAGGGGTTATCCAACAGACACGAACATTTTATTCATCCCTCTAAAAAACAGCTTACATATGGTTGTGGTACATCCCAGGCAGATGAAATCAAAGCACACAAGGGGAGGTGCTAGCAAAAGAAATACTCATTTGTGAAAATAAATAGATAACCCTTCCAATATGATGTACCACAACCACACATGAGAAAAGTCAAGAACTTATTTTATTTATTTTAAAATAAACATTGAGGATTCCCCATTACCCACCACCCTACAAAACTTCTGAATGTGGAATGTTCAACAGCCTATCCATTTTAGTAGGTTACAAAACCAGCAAAAAAAATCCAGTTGTCTAATGATGAATAATTCTGATTTTTTTTTAAAAGTAGCTGAGTACCTACTGGACAATTTCCTTAGCTAAAGGCTAAAAGTGAAATTTTAATTTCTGCACAAAAAAATACCATTAACTTAGTAGCCTTTGCTGAATAGATGGGATTAATTCTCCATAAAGTCAAAGTGGAATGGGACAACAAGCAGCATTAAGTTCATAGGCACACAGAACTAGTGCTCAAACTGCTAGCACAAATTCCCACATAGTACTTATGGCTAAGTCACTACTAAACCGTCCATCTCCAAACTTGAGACGCTCCCTACGCAACTACGGGAAGAAATCACCACTTTGAACATAAATGCCTCCATGAGAAAAGGAGAATTCAATTAGGGGTGAATCAGACAAATGATAACTGCAAATACTAGAGGCACAGCTGCTGGAGACAACCATGACATTTGTGACACTAACAATGCAGAGGGGTGAATCACATAAGCTGCTAGCTGTTGAACACGTGTTTCAAGATACAACTTTTATACACGTTTTATTTGTTGTGCTAACACCATCAGAACTGAAGCTACTGACTGTCATTTCCCTAAAACAGGGAAATCAATCTAAAACAGATACTGGTGCTTTTCAAAAGATAGCAATTTAAAGGTGGTAGCAGCAGGCATTTGATATCTTTTTTTAAGAACTTTCAAGCTGCAGGAAAAATATGACCAAGAGTGTTATGATTATCCATTAGAGATTTTCATCAATATGTGTACCAATTTAGGTGACAATACAGCAAGATCCAAGGATTAGTGATGACAATGTACCTGTCATAAGGAATGGTAAGTAGTACCAATCCTTATAAAAGCCACTGTCTCAGAGAAACTGTTAAGAAGTGTCCAAAGGTATCTATAAAATACTTCACATTAAGTACAGAAGCGGCCCATCCAGATTATTTCCCATTATGCTGCATATTTTTCAAAAAGTGCCAAACAAAGCCTAATTTGCATTTTTGGCTTTCTCTCACACATATCAGCTGTTAAAAAGCAATTTCCATGTGTTTTTAATCACAGTCATTTGGCCAGATGAACAGTGCTTGTGTCAAAGCTGGTAGCCAGCCAGCCTTCCATGTGTGACTAAGGACCCATGCATAATTTGGTACGCCTCTAAACGTTTAGTGCTCCAATTTAACCGGAAAAGCTGTGAAATGCAGTTGTTTTTAGCAAACCACACTCCACTCCTTCCATCTTCCTCTCAGGGAAAATACTTGTTTTATCAATTGCCATTGAAAAATTCTAGGCTGACTTGTAGATTTTATCCAATGTCCAAGAGTCAGACTTGCTTTTGTTCAAGCCACTTCAAATAGCTACGGAGATATTATCACCCCATAAAAGTATATTGTGTTTTACTCCTAAGCAAGGGTGAGGAATCTGAATACCATGTGCAAGGCTCAAGATGACGCTTAGGACAGTACATGCAGAGTAAAAATAGTTTCCTTCCATATCCAGGTAATATAAAGCTGACAATTGTAGTCCTGTCTTTATGGGATGAAAACAGTCCCTTTACAATAAATTTCCTGAAAGGGAGAACAAATAGATAATAACTCTTCTGGTAGCATATTATAGTACACTGGCCAGTGTGTTTTTGGCGATTAAACATAATCCTGTGAATCAGATTAATTCACTTGCTGAGTGTTCATTTGCGGCATTCCTCTGTTGGGTCTTGGGGGCCCTCCACGACCTAGAAGACAAAAATGGCATTTGATTTTTCTTTCAAATATTGTTTGTTTTGCCTTCAAGCAGATTTTCATCTGAAGTCAAGAAGCATGTGGGCAGAGCTTGTCACCACATTATTAGGTTTAAGAGGTCAATTCTTCAGTGTCCAAGTTTCACCCTTCCTGGAAGTTGTCATGCGTAAATTTGCTCATGTTCTCTAGCTAAAAGAAGAGTAGAGCTAATGGAGTATTCCACCAGTACTCATTCATTCATTCATTCAACAAGTATTTATTGAGTGCCTACTATGTGCCAGGCACTGTCATCAGGCGTTGGGAATAGATACAGCAGTGAAGACAGACAAGGTACCTGCTCTCATGGAGCTTACATTCTAGTGTACACTCTAGCTTACATTTCAGTAATAAGTAACATCATACTATCAAAATTAATAAAAGCACCAGAATGAAAACAGACCTTATTACCTAAACTGTTAAAAACTAAACTACATAACATTCAAAATTTTATGACTCATAACAGATAAAGTAACTTTTTTACATGCTGTTAAAACAGATTTTAGCTATCATTTAACTCAACTTTCATAGAATATGCTACAAGGTGGGAAAGAAGAACATAACCCACATTCACATGCAAATAACCTTTGACACTTCTGGTCAAGTAAGTAATTCCCAAGTGATCCATGAACTTTTTTTTAAATGCACCTTTTTACTGGCCAAGTGCTACTAGCATTCAAATCAAAGTACTTTGTAATTCCTCAATATACATTTTATACATGTTATGGCCAATAACTAGAGGAAACTTACTCAATGTTTTAGCCTCCTGCAAATCAGAGAACCATTTAGAACTTCAGATTATATGAAATGCTAGCTCTGACTGTAACATAGGTTAACTTCCTGACCAAATAGCAGGTCATTTTTCAATGATAAAAGACAAAACAAAAATTCTTTAAACTTAATATAATTTAGTTCAGTAAGAATTTGAGGGTTCTGTTTAAAAGTCAGAAGTCATTTGATATTTAGATCACTTAATAGTGGTCCAAAAGCTATTATAATTTCAATGAGCTCTTTTACTTCTAAATGGTTCTCTAAATGTAGCTATGGTTTGTCTGGCCATTCAAGGGTTACTGGTCCTAAAATATAATATGCATGTTTCAAAAAGGAAAGAGGAATACTAAATTTATATAAATGTTCAATCTCACTCCAAAAATGTCTTACAAAAATGTTTCATTGAGTACTTCCTAAAAACATTTAGCAGGTTTTAGGACCTGAAAAATAATTTCCAGTTGGAAAAACACTTTTTTTTGGGGAAGAGCAAATGTTCTGGTTTTGAAGACAAGTTTATATATAGTAACAGGGAAAGTCATTCAAAAATTAAAATTTGGATTCAAGATAACGTTTTAGAAACAGAGCATTTCATTTAATCCCTAGCCACAAGTCTGGAAAGGATCAGTGTATCCCTAACATGTAACCTACATGCAGACTACGAACAGCTCTTCCAAGGCCAGAACAGATCCAGCTAGGATCACCACCACAAAATATTACCTCGTGGGGCTCCCCGTGGTCCACTCTGCCCAGAGCCTCGCTTGAAATTCTGCTGATATCCATCCTAAAAGACAAGCTAGTTAGTACTGTAAAAAAGAAAGGGCAATTTTTATAAAATGCTTACCCATAACATTTGCAGAATTCCTTTTTCTTTTACACATTTCAGTGTGACATTACCAAAAGCTATTCTACAGTTACTACACTTCTACCATACTCAAGAATATTTAATGAAATAAACTTATCTGCTCTTGAAAATAAGTGTTTTTAACAGACTTTCCTGACTATTCGGACTACACAAGAAAGCAACAATTGTCATTTTCTGTAACAGAGTAGCTTGGATATAACTGAACCCCAAATTTCTTAATTACTGAGACCCATCTTGCATTTACCTACCCGCTGATAGCCAGAGTAGTCCCGGGGAGCACTGAACTGAGACTGTGTATAACCACTACTTGGAGTGTTAGAGAATGAAGGGCGGTAGCCATCATATCCTCCTAAAATTTAGGACAAAAAAAATGGTAACTTTCTGTTCTTCACAAAGAATTTGTACTTTCTTATTAATTAGAGAAATTATAAGCCATACTCATTACTATGTTACTAATTCCCTGTCCTGATCCAATCTGTTTATAAATTTCTTTAAGTACTGCCATTTACACTTATGAATATAAACGTACATACAATGATGACAAAGGGAAGAAAAAAAAATCCCATATCCTCTGGTAATACAGAAAAAGCAATTAATTCCCTGAAGATTGACGGTGACATGACAAAAACCTAAATAAAATTTCCCATTTTTGTCACCTGAATAACTACATCTAAATATATCTTTTTTAAAAAAGGTTTGTTTATTTGTTTGTTTTTTGAGATAGGGTCTCAATGTGTATGTAGCCCAGGCTAGCCTTGAACTCATGGAGATCTTCCTAGTGCCTACCTAGTGCTGGAGTTACAGGCATGCACCACCATGCCCGGCCCTAAAATGTTTAAATTCTACATAAAGACACTAATGCAGGGCTGGGGATTTAGCTCAGTGGTGCCACTGCCTACACCTCGCAAGCACAAGGACCCAAGTTTGATCCCCAGTACCAAAAAAAAAAAAAGACACTAATGCAGAGAAACATATCCTTGCCCAAAAGCATGATGTATTTTTTTTAATCTATTTTACAAAATACAAAACAACTTGAAACAATGAAAAGTCATTAGAACCTGAATTTTTATGTATTTCTTTACCTCTGAATCCATTTGCGGGGCCCCTATATCCATTCATCAAGCCTCTAGCACCACGAGAACCTCCACGGGACACACCACGACTATTATAATAAGGCTGACTGCTACGTGGAAATCCAGTGTTCTGCTGAGGAGGTTGCTGGTGGTTACCAGTCACTTGATGGGGCTGGTCCTGGGAACCATGGTAAGTGCCAACCACTACAAGAAAAAAGTACAATCATTGTCCACACATGTGTAACAGCTCATTAATACTTGCTGTCCTGCAGTCTCCTCAAAGCTTATTTTATCTTTAAATAAAGTTGCATACTAAGAACAGAGGAAAACCACATATTAACGAAGTCTTTGTTGTTCTCCCATCTTCAGATTAAGCTAAGAGAGGTAAAATTCTCCACAGCAATTCTCAAAGTACTCTCACAGGAGGGTAAACAATTCCATCTTTCCAAACAAATGATTTGAAATGATTATATATCTGTATCTATCTACCTACCTAAATACATACACATATATATGGGGGGAAACAGGGTCTCACTCTGTAGTTCAGGCTGGCCTTGAACTCACTATGTAGCTGAGGCTGGCCTCAAAGTTTTGGTGATCCTCCTGCCTCAGCCTGCCTAATGCTGAGATTACAGGAGTGTACCATCATCCCTGACCAGAACTGTATACTATTAACATCTAAAAACCTTTTAGCACAAGGGACAATAAGTCCAAAGATTTATGTGCTGAAACAGTGCAATGACCATTTTGAGCCATTTAATTACTTTTTATTATATAGCTACTTAGTGGTAGTTTGTTTTACATTTCCCTTGGTACTTAGTGAAACATACAAAGCCACAGACTCATAGCTCAGCAATTACATGACAGAACATGCCATCAATTACACAGATAAATGAACAGAAGCCTTCCAACTTACAGCTCTTAATGCCTGGCTTCATTCAAAGTATGGCCAGTTTAAAAGACAGTTAAAGAGCTGGGAATTTAGCTCAGTGGTTTCGCTGCCTGCCTTGCAAGCACAAGGACCAGAGTTCGATCCCCGGTACAAAAAAAAAAAAAAAAAAAAAAAAAAAAAAAAAAGACAGTTAAATGGTACACTGGCATTCAATCCAGTTGAAAATAAGGTATATAGAAGGCTCACATTGCCTTGAATATATACCCACCCACTTCTAAAATAAAGAGTTCTGGAATATAGTAAACTTCAAAAAATTAATACCAAGGTGCATTTCTGATATTAATTACAATGGTTATGTTGTGCCCGAGTCGTGAAGTCCCCAAAGGCCACCAAGGAGTCACGTCCAATGCAATTGCAAGAGGAATTTATTGCAAGCTCGAGCCTGGACTCTCAGGTGTCACCGTCACAGCGGCTTCAGACCAAGAGCCCAGATCCAACTTTGAACCAAGTTTATATAGGATTTTTCTGTTACTATTTTTAGTTTTCCCTTATCATCAAGGGGCATCAGGAGGGCACACTGGAACATGACCTAATGCTTACATTTGCAAATTTATTATGGGGTGCTGGGAGGGTACGTATTGGAAAGTTACCTAAGGCCTTTAGAGAATTCCTCTTTTCAGTAGACAATTAATTCCTCTTTTCTGACTTTTGCTAACTAAGATATATGGCTATCTATGTCCACTATAATTAAATCCTATATCAGCTATAACTAATTCCTATATTGATTAGATCACCCAAAAAGAAGCTTTTATATCAACTATACTTAATTCCTATATTAATTGAATTACATAAAAAGAAGCTTATCTTAAAAAGAGAAATAGAAGCAGGGTGGAGATGCTCTAAAAGAGGAAATGCAATTGTCAAAGCACAGAGAAACTGCCTCATAGAATGGAATTTTTCAGAAAGGAACTTTTGCATTTACTCTATTCTGGGTAAGGGGCATGGAGCCCACCATGACCTGGAAACTTGGTCCTCAGTTATAATTCACAGGGGAAGCAAAAGAAGGTACTCTAAGTACCTTTGAAAGTGAGGAATGTAACGGAACGAAGGAAGGCCCTCAACCCGGGAATACTGATGAGCAGTTGCTAGACTGGCCCAAGTATCCATTTTTGGGGAAGAAAAAGAAGTTGTGACTTAAAAATCTATACCTGACCTACTTCACACCCTCAAAAACCTATTGCTATTTTCCAATAAAAAACCCAGAGAATGCCTGAGGAGAGAAGAGAAGGGCCATGGATCCTCTGAACTACTTACTGACCAACTACACCACTCAAAGTGTAATGTTTCTACAGACTGCCTTTGATTACATCCCCAAAATCTAAACAAAACAGGACTGGGGATGCAGCTCAGTGGTGCCACCACCTGCCTAGCAAACACAAAGTACTGAGCTCAATCCCTGGTACCAAAAATTTAAAAATAAACAAACAAAAAATTTAAACAAGGGATGGTCTTTATTTTAAAATATCAGAATTCCTAATTAAGCATATACTCCATGAAGAAAAGCCAAATATCCTTGTGAGATACTTTCCATATTATTCTTGATTAGATACTAACTCAAGTTAAAAGTAAAACTGCTAGAATGTTTAGGATACAAGGATTTGTTCAACAAATACCAGAATGTCTATAATGTGCCAGGCACGTTCCTAGACACACAGGATGTCAGTTGCCAGCACAGACGTGCACACGTAACTTTATTCTAATGACAGATAATTAAGTAGAATGAATGAGTCACCAAGAGCGAGCTGTATTCGGAAAGGGTGAAGAGAGATCCCTGACAAGTGATATTTGAGCAGACCTCAAGAAAAGCAGCAAGCAGTGCAGCAATAATTGAGAGAACTATCCTACAACATGGTTGCCGACTCCTTATAATTTACTGAGAGCAGACTTTGTGTTCCTGTTTTTAATAAATGATAAATACAGGAGCTAATACGCTGTCAGCTCAATTCAGCCATTCCACAATGTATACAAATTTCAAAACATCAACTCATGCAATGCTAAGTATATACGTATTTGTCAATTCAAAATAAAAGTATTGCCAGGCATGGTGACACACAACTGCAAACAATCCCAGCACTAGGGAGGCTGAGGCAGGAGGACTGCTGCAAGTTTGAGGCCAGCCCGGGCTACATAGTGAGTTCAAGGCCAGGAGGAACTACACAGCGAGACCCTGTATCAATCAATTAATCGATAAATCAATAATAACATTGGCTGCACATGTTGGTGCATACCTACAATCCCAACCCTGGAAGGTTGAGGCAGGAATTCAAGGCCAGCCTGAACTACACAGTGATACCTTATCTCAAACACCAAAAATACATAAATACACAAAGTATATCAACATAATGTCTAACAGTTCTAAATGTACTTGTTCCACAACTAATTTTTTAACACATGGCAATGAAGCAGTCAAAAAAGCCCAGTTTTATTATTCAGAAGATAATCACAGCCTAACTGTTAAATTTCCTGTCAGATTATGGCTAACTCACCCTCCATACTCAGCAGATATTAGATACTAGAGATATGCAGAAATTTTCTACTGAAAAATCTATAGTGTTGAGTCAAGAAATTGAACAATTAGAAAATTCCACATATTTTTAAAACCAGTTCGGTAGAATTAGAGTATTAACTCCTATGATCAATAGGACTTGTTTGTTGTGGGGTTCCAATTATGTCCCAGGAATTAATCAAAGACCTAAAAATGGTATTTCATGTTTTATAAAACATTAAGTCTAAAATATCTCCACCCACACTATTATGGTGACAGGTATAGGATGTGCCTAAATTGTGAGCTTATTTGTCAAGAATTGCTTCAGCCTACTCCATAAAATACTATACATTCACCAATGAGACATATGCAGAAGTTGTACTATTATTTAGTATAGTAAGAAGCAAGGAAGCCCTTACTGTTTCTAAGCTTCACATAATTGACTTATTGGTAGCTATGATGCTAGCAGGCTCTAAGCAATTAACTAAAAGTTGACCTAAATAAAAGTTTATCAGCTGGGGATTTAGCTCAGCGGTTTGGTGGCCTGCCTTGCAAGCGCCAAGGACCCGAGTTCAATCCCCGGTACCAAAAAAAAAGTTTATCATAGTATAAACAAGTTTAACATTTAATTCCAATAAAATTACATAATAAAACTGGTACATTATAAAAGCTTAGTAACCAAAGCAAAAAAAAAAAAAAAAAAAAAAAAAAAAAAAAGAGTACAGCCTCCAAAAGGGCATAATCTTAATTTAACCTACAGTTACCAATGAAAAAGTTTCTACAGTCTACTACTCTAAAACACTGCTGCCTGATCTGTGGTGACACCGTTGTTAACTGCTAGAGAGCACACAGGCAACAAAGTGAGCCTGGTTTTCCTACCCGTTTGAAGCTGTTCTTGCTGGAGCTCTGTCTGCTCCACTTGGTGAGGCTGACTGGAGAAGCTCTGGTTGTAACTGGACTGGTACTGGTTTTGCTGTTTTAAAGTTTCTGGTTCATTAACAGGAGGAACTGGGGCATTCATATTGAATACCTGCAAGTGAATGAAGTGACTGATTAGCTCATCCCTTTACTCCCTGCATTGAACACGGCAGATCTCAGTGCCGGCTTTCCCACAAATGTAACTGAAGATCACTGAAGTTTCAAACACATAAGTAAGGTACATTACAATAAAAAACACAATAAGAAAAACATTCAGTGCACTTCAAAGTAAAAAAGATGCAAACTCATGAAGCAGTACCACTTGCAGAAAGTTAATCTATGAACTGAGTTGAATGTTTGATTCATTTAACACATTTTTGATATTTTTAATGAAGAGTATTTTAAGAAATTAACTCTGAACACTCCTCTGAGCACTGACTTAGTTGTATTTGCTTTTTTCTTTTTTTTTGGAGACAGGGTCTCACTCTGTAGTTCGAGCTGACCTTGAACTCATTATGTAACCCAGACTGGCCTAGAATTCACAGCAGTCTTGCCTCAACCTCCCAGGTGGCTGGGGTTACAGGTATTGTGCCATGACGCCCAGCTGTTTTCATTGTCATTTTCTACAAATTCTCTAAAGATACTTGTAGATGAACCAAGGTGAAGCATAACGTCTTAATTTTATTTTGCAAAACTGCAGTGAAACAAAAGATTAAGCAAATAGGGCAAACATCAACTGTCAAATTTAGATGATGATTATATGGATAGTAAGTCTATTTCTTTGTATGTTTAAACTGTTAGTTTAGTTCAAAAGGGTAAAACTACCAAATAAGAAGATGCAGGTATATAGAACTTATAAGGCTGAAATTTATCTCTGAGATTGTTGACATTCGGTGTTTAAATTCAATTAAATATACCCTACAGTTAAAACAGATGCAGACTGAACTCAGTTAAATGAAGCCTCTTTGCTGAACAGCTAGCATGAATTCACTACACATTGGGCATTTAGTGTCAGCTGAACTGACTTGCTTACCGTTTGCATGGATTGGAATGGAGCTGCGTTTACATTGATTCCACTGCTATGTAAAGGTTTGCTTGTCCCAGCCTGGAAAACCTGAGGCTGAGAAGCAGCAGGAAGGGATGAGGATGCTGTAGTCTGGTCTGTATTTAGAGACATTGTTGCCTAAACAAAAGGAAACAAACAGATGCACTTTAGCAGTAAACTAACCCAAACTTTTTGTGGATTAACAAGATCAACTACCGCCCCCCAAAAAAGATCCAGAAAGTCACTATATTAACCCCTAAGTGCCTCTGCCTAATGCACAAGTCAGTGCATATGAATGAATTCATCGAGTTTGCACATCCTGAGAACAGAACTTACCTGAATCTGATCCATGGGTTCCTTTTGTGGCCGCTGCTCCGTTGCATGTGAGGGCTGGTACAAGGGTTGAGATGCTGTGTATCCCTCGCTCGTCGATGAAACCAAAGGAACCTAGATAGAAGAAATCCAAGCTTTGTTCTTCTTACAAAATTAACTGGTCAAGATAAACCAACCCTAAAACAGAGAGGGCTAAGAAATATATTACCTGTACTTTCTGCACCTGTAGACTACACAACCTCACACATTTTAAAAGTTAAATATACCTGAGACTAATTGAAGCCCTCTAGCTTCTAAGAGGGCAAAACTTGTTCTAAATTTTAGAATTATATCTAAAATATGCCTTCTAAAATTGGACTCAGGTTGAAATTAAAAAGCTTCTTTGATTTTAATAATTTTATATACACAAGTAACAAAAATAATTTTAAAAGTTACCAAAGAATGTAACAAGGACAAAAAAAAAAAAAAAAGGCTGGTAACTACTAATGCCAATGAATATGTAACAGAAGACTTAAGACTCTGATCAAATGCAGACACAGGTTCGTAAGAGGCACAGAAAACAAACTTGAAAAAAACAACATTCTTACCTGTGTAGCTTCTGGTTGTACAGAAACTTGATTAGGCTGAGCAAGTCTAGATTCAGAATGAACTGCAAAATGGACAGGATTATTATTTTAAGTAATCAAAAAAAATATTTTTTTTTGTTTTGTTTTTTTGAGACAGGGTCTCACTATGTAGTTCAGACCGCCCTGGAACTATGTAGCCCAGGCTGGTTTCAAACTCACAGCAATCCTCTTGCCTCAGCCTCCAGGCATGCACTACCATGCCCAGCTTAATCAAATTTCTTAAGAGATACCTAAGTACCTTTTACATAGCTGCTAATGCAAATTTCTAAGGGTTCTAGGATTACAGGATTACAAACATGGGCCACAATCCTAACACTTGTGAGGCTGAGGCAGGAGGATTGCCTTGAGTTTGAGGCCAGCCTGGACTACACAGCCAGACCGTCTCAAAAAAAATAAAAATTAAAAAAAAAAAAAAAATCAATTCTTTTCATTTGTAAAATTTCATAAGTAAAATGTCCAAGAGAAAGTATAAACAAAGAGGTACAGAAAATAACCTAGATTCAATATAAAAGTTGCACAATGAAGCTTTTATGGGGGGCGCTTTCTGCCATATATTTTTAATTTTTTTTAAGTACAAGGATTATAGGAATCTGCCACTACACCCAGCCTTGTTTTTTGGTTTTGTTTTGATGTGATAGTAGAGATTGAATCCAGGGTCGTTGAAATGAGCTACATCCCTAGCCCTTTGCATTTTTAAGACACTGTCTGCCTACACTGCCCAGGTCTCTGAGCTTGAACAGCGTAAGAAGTAGCACTGCCCATACTCAGGTTCTTGGTTAGATTATCAACTTTCAATATAATCTTAAAATATTTCCACAGGGGAATAAAAAGTAAAATACATAAATACACCTTTTAAAAGCCTGTTATTTCAAAAGAAAAAAAATGATGTGCTACTAAAAGCCTGTTATTTTATACCCAACCACAGTTAAATACTCAAAAATACAGAACCACAGCTGGGCGTGACACCACACTACTCTGGGAAGCAGAAGCAGAAACATAAGTTCAAATTTCACCTGGGCAACTCAGCAAGACCATTCTCAAAATAAAAATTTTTAAAAGGGCTGGGGACACAGCTCAGTCTAATGGTCGGAAGGCCCTGGTTCAATCCTCAGTACCACCAAAAAATTTAAAAAAAGAAAGAAACAAAACAATAAACAACCAACGAAAAGCAAAACCCAGAATCACACACTGGTTGGTCTTTTAGAAACCACAGATTTTTACTGGAGAGTCTGATGGACTGAGCTTTATCTAAATATCTAAGATGGTTACAGGTTACATCAGCAAGTATCACAGCTTGGCATGGCTTAGCAACTGGTAAAACTACACATTCTCGTCCTGACAAAATTCATAAAATGAACATTAAAGAACTGTGACACAATGATAAATTTAACTGTATTGTTTGCTTTATATGTACCAATAAACTTAATTAAAACAACTGTGACAGACAGCTTTCTAGCACAATTGATCCTTGTTCTCTAACTCTTAGTAGAGATGGGACAGAGATATGAGCTCCTTTTACTGTGGAGAATTCCTATCTTACCAAATTAATTGTCACTGAACATGCTTTTGCCCACACTATTCTAGAACATTCAAGACTATGCAACATTAAAGGTCACATAGCACTTTGTATCACTAACACTGACACACACTGGGGAAAAACTATGAAGACTCAAAATTATTAATGTTTCTAGAGAGGTACAAAACTCAATACAAGACACTACTTAATTCTGCCACTTTAAGACAATAAAGAGTTGAAACTGCAACTCATTTATCCTTTCATTTTTCCTTTTTAAGTGTTCCCTTACTCCACATTCTTATGTCTCATTTTCATTTAGGGAATAAAATGTTCAGAAATTGTCCTAAAAAGATGGCAGCATCCACAGAAAGCCACCTCCATTATTTTTAATCTCAAGAAAATTTTGTGGGGTTTTGTTTTATGACAGTCTTACTATGTATTCCAGGAGCCCGGGGTTGGCATCAAACCTCCTGCCTTAGCCACCAGAGTGACAGGATTACAGGTGTGCACCACCATTCCTGATTTCCTTCCAAAGATTAATTTTGAAATTAAAAAAAAAAAATCATACAAAATTTTACTTATGCCCATTACAAAAAATCAGGCAACTGATCTATAGTGGTATAAATAAGTGAGTAGTTACCATGGAGTTAGGGGAGAGGTGGATACAGTCAGTAACTAGTGACTGAAAAGGAAGACAAAACAGGTTTCTGGGGTACTAATGATGTTCCATTTCTTGATCTGGATACCAGTGTGTTCAGTCTGTGAAAACTCATCAAATTTGCATGCATTTTTCTGTGTCTATAAGCCAATAAAGAGTTTTAAAAATTATGGAACTATAGTCATGATTCACATTACAAGATAAACATGTAACAATTCCTAACAAAGACAAGATTAAAAGTTAAGCAATCATTAAAGGGGGAAAAAAATTAACTTTCACAAACTTAATAAAACGTGAAAGCACTAGTGGGTCCTCCATTGCTCTGCACATAAAGAGTACCATTACTAACCAGGAGGGCAAACCAGCTGGGGCATGTCCATGTTTTGTGCTGGATTCATAGGTTGTGCAGATACAATGGCAGGATCGAGAGTCTGGTTTTCAAAATCCAGCATTGAATCCTACAAGTAAAGTTAGGATATAAAGCAGTTAAGCCAAACAGTGTAAACACTGAAATTTTCTGTTTCAGTATTTTACTCAAATGCACCCACCTGTATGAAATTATAGGGCCCCTGCATTTGTGCCATAAGATCTTGTACTCGCTGTCTTCTCACAAGGGGATCTGCCTGAGCCACTGGAGTCAACGAGTGGGGCTCTGGGACTGAAGGAGACGCAGCCTGAGGTTGCTGCTGGAGTGAATTTACCACCTAGGTGGGAGAGAAGGTGGTGGCAGAGTACATAAGTTCCCAAACTGCGCATCATGTCATCCGTGCAACAGAACAGGCTCAGCTACTCAGCTGCACCAACTTATCCAACATTTAGCATTCCAATCAACATCCACACTTCTATAGTGCTTTTAATTCCAATGGATCATTATGCAACTTTTTCATAGTTACTTTTTAAACTGCTTTCAAAGAATAACTTCTTCCAAAAATAACATATTTTGATTAAACTGTTAGTCTTTCCATAATAACAGAATCTAGACGCCAACCATAGATTTATCTCAGCACCTTGAAGAATACTGATTGTTGCTACCACCGAAATTTAGGTTTCTCTCATCTCTCTGCTAACACACTAGGATCAAGACATTGTCACCTCAACTAAACTGCTACAAAAATCAAAGTTCATTCAATCTAGTCTCCTTCCCAGCCCTAATAATTCTGATTATTTTTCTTTTATAAAAAAGCACAGCTTCACTTGGAAATTCTAACTTTTATTTTAACAGTTATATTCTTTCTCTGGCTTTTAAGCTTGGGAAAGTCATATCGTTGAACCTGAGAAAATCATTATCTTGTTCTCTTTATAAACAACCAACACTGAGATAAAAATCACTTACATTGTTTATCATGAAAAACCAATTTAGCTGTCTATCAAACTCAGGATGCTACAGAAATTTCTGGAATCCCATATGAGCTTTCTGTTGAATTATCAAGAGGCAAGACTGACAGACTGGGTAAAGAATTTACTCGAGAAGAATACTTAGCAGAAATACTGCCCCATGAAACCCTCACAATTTACTGAATGTTCGTCAAATAAGGAACACATTTCAGAAATATTACCGGAGAGTTAGAAAATTACACCAAAAAGATCTATAGAATGGTAGTTTATGTAGGAAATGTGCCAAACAGTGGGACTTTGTGCTTGCGAGGCAGGTACTAGAACCACTAAGCTAAATCTCCCGCCCTTTTTTCGTTGCTGTTTAAATCAAATCTCAGTATATACCCCAGGCTGGACTAAAACTCATTATGTAGCCAAGAGACCTCAAATCTGCAATCCTGCCTCAGCCTCCCAAAGAATGAGATTACAGGTTTGTGCTACCACCTCTAGCTTTTTTGCTGTATTTTATAGGCAAAGCACAACTAAGGAGAGGTCCACATATATTAATTCAAGCTAACTTTTCCTGTAAGTAACTTGTGCAAATGAATAGGACAGTTTTGGGGAAGTCACTATTAAGTGAGTCAATGAACTCAAGACGAAATCCTGAAAAAAGATTTACTATAAGCTGAGAGACAACACCAAGAAACACTGAAGAAACCTAGAGCCTGGCAACGAGCAGCATTAGAATGAAAGAGAAGACCGAGACAACACACCAACAGGTTTTCTATGAAGCTATTGACATGAGATTTTTAGAGAGCATCCTGATACACTGTAAGAGTCAGGCAGGCCAGGGACTTGGCTCAGTGATTCTGCTGCCCGCTTTGCAAGAGCAAGGCCCAGAGCTCGATCCCCGGCACCAAAAAAAAAAAAAAAAAGTTTGGGGCCAGTAATTTAACTCAGCAGCACTGTGCCTGCTTTGCAAGCACAAGGTTCTGAGTTCAATACCGGTACCAAAAAAAAAGTCAGGCAAATCCATAGATAACACTGTATAAAATAATTTACAATCAAATCAGCCACCAGCAAATTCTAATACACATCCAACAAGAATAAACAAATCATTTTTGTTTTTTGTTTTTTTTTTTTGGTACCGGGGATCGAACTCAGGTCCTTGTGCTTGCAAGGCAGGTGCCAGAACCACTGAGCCAGATCCCCAGCCCAAACAAATCATTTTTAAATACAACAGTCTTGTGTTGAGTTTGCTAGTATAATAAATACAATTAACAATCTTACTTTATTCACAGAGAAAAATTACTAATCAAAGACAAAAACATCAACTAGGAATACAGAGAACTCTCACCTCAACAGTTTCCACTGTCCACTCATCTACCTGCTCCTTCTCCCCACTGCTGAACTGGGTTTCTGCCATAAATTGTCTATTTACATACTGCAAAGAAAAGTGAATGTCTGAGATATCTGTTTGAAAGGCAAAAAAATAAAACTAGCATTACTTTTTTTAAAAAAAAATCATACCTCTGTTGATTCAACTTCACTTTGCTCGGTGTATTCTTCTGCTGGCTCAGGTTCTAAGAGGTTAAAAAAAATTGATTAAAAAAAAAAAAGATGAAAAACTTAAGATTTAAGTCAGTGAAGGTGGTCTGTATGACACTGTAATGGTGGAAAGTTGGCATGATACATTTGTCCAAATCTACAGAGGGACCCTGTCTCAAAAGAAAAAAAAAAAAAAAAAAAAAAAACAAAAAAAAAAAAAAAAAAGCAGAGGCTGATGACAGCTCAATGCAAAGGTCTTGGGTTCAATCTCCAGTACAAAACAAAGTACTGCCTTATGTTGTTTCTCTACTACTATATATTCCACCAAAGTGCAATCTCCCCTTCTGTTTTCTGCTCTAACACTTGTACAGAGTTCACCATGCAGGACCAGGGATTTAGCTCAGTGGTGCCAAGTACAAGGTCCTGAGTTTGATTCCCTGGTACCAAAAAAATAAATAAAGTTCATAATGTGCCAGGCACTATACATGGCCTTCACATATTTCTTTCTGCATAGAGAAACCTGAGCTCAAACAGCTTTTTTTTTTTCACAAGCTTTAATAATTTTCCCAAAGTTACACAGCTACTAAGTTTGAAGTTAAGATTTGAATTCAAATAGTCTGATTCTAGAATCTATGACTTAAAACCATTACAAGATTTACGTTCCAATAACTTGTCCAATTGTACTCAGACTTTTACTCAAAACTCAAAAGAAGTCACCATCATGGTCTAGCTACACAGTGTTGCACTAGGTATTAAAATTAATCAGAAAAGACCTCTTGTCACTGAGGAATCTGTAACTCAAGATTATCAAAATTATGTGGGGTGTGGTGGTGCTCAGCTATAATCCCAGCACTCAGGAGACTGAGACAAGAAGACAATCGAGGCCAGCATGGGCTGTAAATTCAGGGCCAGTCTGAACTACAAAGCCAGATCCTGTTCTCAAAAAAAAAAAACAACCTGTAAGACAAATGACTAAGCCTGACTGCTTCAGGGAATTACTCGATGTGTTTTGTCTCTTCAAACTCTAAGTGTACATATATAACCCTAAGGAACGCACTCACAGCAAAGAAAAGTAAAGCTCATCGTCCCCAGCTGAACACTCACCAGCTTCAGTGACCTGGTCTTCCACTGTAGGTGCTGAGGCTGCTTCCTCTTCCTCACACAGCCCATTCTGGTGGTTGTGGGTACTGTCAAAGTAGTTTGACTGAAACACGCGCTCAACAATTTCCTTTAGAGCTTTATCTAAAGATGAATATAGAGTGTTAGACTATTTGACAATACACAGCTTGAAAAAAAATTCAATATTCTTCAAAATAAGGAAAAACCCACCTAATCAACTGTTACTAAAACATCTATACACATAAAAAGATTAAATTTTTCACCAACAGAAATGTATTACATAGTGATAGGGATCATGAACTTATATACTTTTGTGAGTTTCTGGATTTTTTTTCTACACAGTTCAGGCTGGCCTCGGACTCTCAGCAATGCTCTTGCCTCAGTCTCCCTAGTGCTGTGATTACAGGCACGTGCCGCTACACTTGGCCAAAACATTGTTTTTAAGTACTGGATAAGCTGACAACATTTATTCATTCAATAAGCATTTATTTAACATCTGCTGTACATTAAGCAATACCCTAGCTCCTGAGGATAGAAGTATAAAAAGCAAAGCATCTTCCTTTTGCTGAACTTACAATCTAACACAGAAGGCATCAAACACAGGAATGACACTACACAGGTAGAATGGATTGGACCTAAGTCAGGGTTGAGACTGAGTTGAGATATATAAAGTGAGTTAAACAGAGAAAGGTTTAATAAAGGGAGAGCATAGAGCACCGACAAAAGTCCTGCACAAAAGAAGGGTACCAAATGTGAGAAAAGGAAAGGCTGCCACTGCAGCTGAAGTATAGGAAATAAGAAAAGGGGTAGGGAAAGATGAGGCTAGGAAACACTGGCTAAGAACCAGACCATGAATAGCCTTGAGATTAGATAAACCTGGTGAAACTAAGCCTTTAAAGATTTTAAAGTTTTTGGTTTGGTTTGTGTTCCTGGGCATCGACACTAACCTTCATCCCCAAACTTTTTTTTTTTTTTTAATTAAGCCTATTGGTACATTTTAGGTATATAGTAAAGTTACATTCATTATTGGGATCTTGTACCTTTACATGACAGGTCATGGTTCTCTTTTTTTTCCCCTTGGCCCTGTATCCCCAACCTTTTAATTTTTACTTTGATCCAAGGTCTCCCTGAGTCACTAAGTCATTCAGGCAAGGTTTAAACTTGCTACAGTCATCCTGCCTCAGCCTCCCACAGTACTGAGATTTACAGACATGCCCCACCATGCCCAGCTCTTTAAAATTTTTTAAAGGGTGAAACAGGAATGAATTCAGTTAAGCAACTACATTAGAAAGGCAAAGCAGCAACAAGGTGGTACATGTCTATAATCCCAGCAATCTGGGAGCCTGAGGCAAGAAGAATGTCATCAAATTTGAGGCCAGCTTGGATTACACAGTGAGTGTTCAAGGCCAGCCTGAACTACATAGTGAGTTCCTATATTAAGAAAACAAAACAAAAAGATTAAAAGAGATAGACATAAAAGTGGCAGACAGAGTTAAGTAGACTGATTCAAAAGACATTTTAAAAGGTGAAAACTTGGTACACTAGGAGACACAAAAGGAAATCTGAGAGTTGATATATAAAGAATTATTCTCAATTTTAGGGGCTTGTGTAGCAGATCTACATGCAGCAGAGTCAATCCCTAACTTGGTCACTGTAGAGAAAAACAAAAACTTCAAGAGCCATATTACATTCAACTACTGTAAAATTAACCCTAATCAGACCAACAACTCTATGAATGATGAACACCTCCTGTGTTTACCTTCAGACTGATTCAGAAGTATCTGTTTTTAGAAACTTACAAAATCTAACTATACTTAAAAAATTAATTTGCATACATTAGTACCTTTCCATTAGCTAGCTATACGATATTATATTCCTAAAATGTGAGATCATGAGTAGGTAGAAAATGTCCCTGATGGCCCCGGGATTTAGCTCAGTAGTTGCATTGCCTGCCTCACAAGCGAAAGGTTCCGAGTTTGATCCCCAGTACAAAAAAAAAAAATCACAAATGCAAGAAAATGTGCCTGAAAAAAAAGGTGCAAGCTGGGCTGGGGGTTTAGCTCAGTGGAACCGCACCTGAGTATAATTCCCCAGGTGGGGGGGGGTGCTTGAGCAAGAGCTTAGAGGTTTTAACACTTGTCACTCATCAATAAATGCCCTACAGGTTTGATGCAAAACTACTTTTAAAAAAAACTACCTTTTTTAAGCTAACAATTTTGCAAAGCAGAGTACAGCTTTTTTTTTTTTTTTGGTACCAGAGATGGAACTCGGGACCTTGCACTTGTGAGGCAGGCAGCAGAACCACTGAGTTAAATCCCCGGCCCAAGCTAACAAATTTATACACACACAATTACTGTACTTTTCTATCAAACCTCCGATGATAAAATTCAAAATATTTATTTTGTAACAAAGAAATACAGTGAAAAATACAGTAACAATTAACAAATCAAGAAAATGATCTTGCCAGGCATGGTGATACACACCTGTAATCCCCAGCATTCAGGAGGCTGAGGCAGGAGGATTTCCAAATTTAAGCCCAGCCTGAGCTACATATTGAGTTTAAGGCCAGGCTGAACTACTTAGTGATTGACCCAGTCTCAAAATTTAAAAAAAAAAAAAAAAAAAAGATTTCACATAAAAGACATAAAATTAATCAATACTTTGTAGGATTTACCCATTTCCTTAAAGAAAATATAAGGTTTACCAATTAAAGCAAAAAATCCAGTTTAATTTGCTGCTCACCAACAGCTAAAAATAAGGCATAATTACAAATACATTTACCTTAATATGTTCAAAACTCCACTTCCATAATTCAATCTTAGAATAGCAAAGACAAGAATCTATTCCCTGACTGTAAAAAAAAATCAATAGCTGCATATTTGAAGTGAAGGAGATCACACATGGAAAACTGGACTAGATATTCTAGGTATTAGAATTTCTAAAGAACAAAAAAAAAGGGGGGGGGTCCCAAATAAACTAAGTCTAAGAAGTACTAAAGAAAGGCCAAGGCTATGATCATGAAAAGGAAATACAAGATGCAATGTTTCTTAGAGTTGAAAAAAGGCAGTTCGCAACTAATATCACAAAGTCTGGAAAGCAGCCCTATGCCAACCAATCTACTTTAAGCACAGCTGAGTTATGTACAAACCACTGGAAGGAACTGTGTGCCTGGACCAATTGTGCAGCACTTGCCTGGTGTGCACGAGGCCCTGGGGTCCATCCCCAGGGCTATGGTTTGGGACTGCTCCCATCCCCCACCCCTGCAAGAGCCATGTGTTAAAGGCTTGGTTGGTGTCACCTATGGCACCAGTGGCAGATGGTGGACCCTTTAACAGGTGGAGCCTAGAAGAAGGAAGTGCACCTGAAGGGCAAGCTGGTGCCTTCTCATCTTTCTCTTTGCTGCCAGGTTACATGGAAGCAAGCAGCCTTGCTCCATGATGTCCTGCCCCTCCCACAACCCCAAAACCAAAAGAGCTCTGAACCCTCCAACAGTATGAGCCAAAATAAGCTTTTCCTTCTTGTAGCTCAGGTATTTTGTCACAGTAACGGAAAGTTGAGTAACATATCCATCGCCACAAAGGGGGAAAAAACACAAAGCTATGCTAAACTAGGACTCTGTTCAGCTGGGTGTGGTGACGCACACCCACCTGTGATCCCAGCATTTAGGAGGCTGAGGCAAGAGGACTGCTGTGAGTTCAGGGCCAACAATGAGCTACATAATAAACTCAAGGATAGCCTGAACTAGAGGAAGACCCTGTTTTAAAAAAGAAAAAGGACACTGTCTCCAACAGATTGTTGGTTGTTATTAACGTTCTGATTTAAAACCACACATACAAACACCAAAATAAATAAATAAATTAGTTGCAAAAAGTAAATAGTGAGTAAGTACTAAACACTGAATTTCCTTCCATGTTAATCAGAAAATTTTTAAAGATTTTTACTTACAAAATCAGAGTTAACTGTGATACTCACAAGTTGTCCCACACACAGATTTTTCCTTCCCCTCCAGCAAGTCCCACAGGTGAATGGAGGCGTGTTCATACTGCTCATTCAGCCTTACAACACAACCATGGAACGGCTCATTAGTAAACATCTGCTGTCCACGCAAGGCAATATTGAGAAGTTGCTGCTTATAAACACCACATACCTTAAGCTCATGTCCCGCTCAGGGTCCACTAACTTGTAGAACTCGTCCAACAGTGACAACTCCTCCTCCGACAGGATTGGGACTCCAGTCAAGCCTTGTTTCAAGTCAGTCCGCACTTCATCATCTCCTAATTTGTCCAAAACATACTGTAGCTCAAGTACAGTTTTTAAACGTTTCTGTTCAGCTTCTTCTCTCATAAGCTGTTCCCGGCGTGCTGTCTTCTTTATTGTTTTCTGAATCTGTGAAAGAATATGAACAGTCAGACACTGAAGTTCTAACTTCTACTAATTCACAAGGACATCAGCCTAATGCTGCCTCCTTGCCCCAAAAAACCCACTAGTGGTACCAGAAAGGTATTCTAGCACAATGAAAACAGTGACTAAAACTGATGTGTCTTTAGATGTAAGACAAGCTAGCAGGAGTTAACAACTCACTTAAAAGTTCAATCTACTTCAGGCCCAATGCAAGTAAGCTGTGTCTTATTGAAGCTGGGCATGGTGGCGCACGCCTATAATCCAGCACTGGGGAGGCTGAGGCAGGAGATCACTGTGAGTTCGAGACCAGCCTGGGCTACATAGTGAGTTCCAGGTCAGTCTCAACTACATAGTGAGACCCTGTCTCAAAAAAAAAAAAGATGTGTCTTATTAATAACGAGATGTGATCCCCAATACATAAAAGGACGATTCCCAACCTAGAAGCACAGTTTCACTGCTAGAAATTCAAAACACACATTTCTCTATAATATATTGTAACCACTGTAGTTACTTATGAAAAATAAACTTGCAATTCATTTCAAAATAATCTAGCAAACGAGACAAGGGAGCAGACTGGTATATATAAGAAATAACTGTTCATGAGACAATGACTGTAGAAGCTAATTATAGAGGTCTTCATTACATTCCTTACTTTTAGATATTCATGTTTGAAATTTTCCATTAAGCAGAATAAAAATTAGAATTAAAGGGCTGAGCCAATTAAAAAATAATCGTAGTGGCCAGGGATTTAGCTCAGCAGTTCCAGCGCCTGCCCCGAAAGCACAAGGACCTGAGTTCAATCCCCAGTACCAAAAAAAAATTAAAATAAAAAATAATCCTAACCACAACATTAATAAAAATTCTACCTCTCCTCTATGGAAAAACAATCCAAAATTCTAAGCACCTTCTAAAAACTCACAATGAGCAGCCAAAACCCTCCACTGCCCTGGATTCCAAAGAATCTACTGCTGGCCAGGCATGGTGGTGCACGTCTATAATTCTAGCACTTGAGAGGCAGAGGGAGGAGGATCACTGTGAGTTAGAGGCAAGCCTGGGCTACACAGTGAGTTCAGGGTCAGCCTGAACTACACAGTGAGACCCTGTCTCCAAAATAATAAACCAAAAACCAAGAAAGTAAACAAGAATCCACTGCTCGTACCACAAACGCATCCCAACTGAAAATACTGACTAAAACTGATCTGCTTCATGAACGAGAATGCTGGCAGAGAAAAAGTGGCAGTGAAACACAGATGAACCTAAATGTTTTCCCCACCACTCCTTGAAAAGGCTGAAGATGTGGCATTAACCAAACTCATCCTGCTTAGGGGCAGAGAAAGGTCAGCCTTTTCAAGAGCAGTGGCAGCCTTTCCGTCCCAATGTTGCTCTTTCTCAAGCCTCACTGGGATGAACTGAGACAAAGAAAATTAAACTAGGACAAAAGAAATTTGTATGAGAAGAGAGAAATGGAGGGGACCTTGGAGGAATGGAGAAGGTTGCAGTAATAAGACAAATCTGTAATGGCAGCAGAGTAGGTAAATACTACCTTAGCAATAAATGAAAAGCGAATAAATTGTATCTGCAGTGAGGAAAGAGCTGAGTTAGGGTGTCAAGAAAGCTTTCAAGAAAAACGTGACATCTAGGTATCTATTAAAATAGGTAGGGGCCAGGGATTTAGCTCAGTGGTTCCACCACCTGCCTCGCAAGCACAAGGACCAGAGTTTGATCAATGGTACCAAAAAAAAAAAAAAAAAAAAAAAAAAAGGTAGGAAGCCAGGCGTGGCGGTACACGCCTGTAATCCCAGCCCTCAGGAGGCTGACCCAGGACTGCTGTGAGTTCTAAACCAGCCTGGGCTACACAGCCAGATTCTGTATCGAAAACAAAAAGCAAGCAAGCCACCTTTGATGAAATAGCAGATCAAAAAGGGGAGATGCAAGTAAGAAAAAACGGCAGGCTACAGCTAGGCCAGAGCAGTTCATGAAGCCTAACCAAATCTGTGATGAAACCCAGGATCAGAATTCCACGTAACTACTGTCAATCACATTAAACCTCACACAAGTCTCTCAAAACACCAGAGTTAAAACAGAAGAAAAGGAGAAAACAGATGTTTTAATTTACAGTGTCAACAGTTTCATAAATAGACATTGTGTTAAAATTTATTACAACACTGCTCTTACGGACTAGGTTTTTAAAAATGAATGAATGAGTTTGGAAATGCTTCATCAACCTCTGACCTAAGCTAAGTGGAACAAGCTGCTACCCATGCACTAGTCCTCCCCAACCCCCAGTGCCCCCAGTATTCTCTCAGTGCAGCTCTGGGAGGCAGGGCCTTCTTGGGAGGTCACCAGGTCAGAGGGCTCCCCCCAGGCAGAGGTAAACGCCCCAGTAAGAAGGGCACTCTCTTGCCCTCAGTAGCCCACCATGTGAGGATGCAATCAAAACACCCTCACCAGGGTCCAGTGCTTCAGCCTTGGGCTTCCCAACCCCTTGGACTATGAGAAATTACGTTTGTTTCATAAATTATCCAGTATCTAGCATTGTTACAGCAGCATAAATCATGAAAGATATGGGTATAAATTAAACTACTATTTCTGTTTTCAGGCAAATCATCAAAATTTTCCATCCGTATTCAGATGTAAAAAATACAACAGTAAGTTCTTGAAATATGTTGGTAAGGCATCAGATACTCTTCTAAAGGACAACTTTAGGATGTATGTGCTATATCAACACCATTTTACAGAGTAGAAAACGGACAACTAAGGGCCAGTCCCTCTTTCCCCCTTTTCTCCTATTGGCTCTGTTTCTCTTGAAAACCTTATCTAATACAGGAATATCCAGAGTCATACAACTATTAAAAGTGGTAGACTTAGGACTCAACCCAGGTAATCTGGTTCCTGATCAGATCTCTTAATCCCTGTACTACACTATCTCACACCTTTATAACAGTCATTTTCCTTTCACCAAATTAGTGGCAACTTTGTTATTTCAATGTTACTATTCCTTCCTCAAAAAAGCCTGATACTTGGGCAGGGGATAAACCTGATACATATTCCTAAGACTTCAATTTCCTGGTCTCAACAAACTACTCTTGCTTGTACTTAATTTTTGTCTATGAAAGGCTTGTCACACCATAAGGTATTAAGGGAAAACCCACCATCCTGTTAGATCAAGAGTTGATGCAAAAGCAGTGAATGTTATCAGTCTGCCACATCCCAAGGTCCCTAGCGGAGAGACTGATCATCAATCATATACACAAGGCTCTAGCTGGGCATAGTGGCACATGCCTGTAATCCCAGCTCTTCTGAGTTCAAGGCCAATCAGGGCATACAGAGTTCAAGGCCACTCTGAATTACACAGCAAGACACACTCTCAAAAAACAAAAAAAGGGCATGTTAGAACTGGGTTCGGTCTGCTCACCTTGCAGAGTTCATCAATAGCATTGCAAAGACTGAAATCCAAGGAAGCAATACACATTTCTCTATTTTTAGTATTTCATAAACAAATATAACATCTAGCCAGGGATTTAGCTCAGTGGTTCCACCACCTGCCTCGCAAGCCCAAGGTCCCAAGTTCAGTACCCAGCACCAAAAAAAAGATGATGATGAATATAACATCTTTTACTTACATCTTGACTTAATGCCATAAAACTCCTCTGTAATTCTTTTGCAAATTCCAAATTATTTGTGACTTCCTGATACTTAGATACGGCATCCTAAAATGACAAAACAGAATGCAATCTTACTAGAAATATGAAGAACCACAAAATTAAATTTTTTTATTAAAACATCAAAATCTTTAATAAAATGTAACATCTTTACCAGCTGGTCTTGATTAAGCCTCTCCCCTTTGTTCATTCGTTCCTGATAATCATCAAGTTTACCCTATATTAAAAGGAAAAGAGAATTACATCCATGTTGAAGATATGTATCAGATTAACTGCTAAAAAGCAACTCAATCTTCTATGCTTGTCTCAAATTGCGCCTTAACTATACCATACTTTATAAACATAACTTATGTAATATATTTAATGCAGTAAATCTAATAGTGAACTAAAAGAAATTTAAACACTCCATCAAATACTTTTAAGCCAATGAAGCAATGCTGCTTATTTTTAGGGCATTCAAAAAGGGTACTCATCAGCTAGGCCAGGAATATGGTTCCTACTCACATGGATGAGGACCATAGTTTGGTTAGAATTCTGCTGACCCATGAACATAACAGACATTCACACTTAATATTTCTGTGCCTCTCTTCCTCTCTCATTTCCTTCAAAGGATTCATATAAATAGGTACTATTAAATATTTTTCTGGCCAGGTGTGGTGGCGCACACCTGTAATCCCAGCACTCGGGAGGCTGAGGCAGGAGGATCACTGTGAGTTTGAGACCAGCCTGGGCTACATAGTGAGTTCCAGGTCAGTTTCAACTACATAGTGAGACCCTATCTCAAAAATACCAAAAAAAAAAGGAAAATATTTAAAGTAATCATAATTACATAAACTTCCTTAGCAATATAAAATTAAAACCATGCACAAAGTACATATATATAATATATAATATATAATATATAATATATAAGACATTCCAGAGCCTCAGAAACTAGGTTAAAAGCATTGGTAAGTTTTAGGGGTGATCTTTTGTTTTGCTTTTGTTATGACTTAGGATATTCCAAAATTATAACATAGTCAGAATTCAATTCAGAAATAGTTAATGGAAGAGATATAGGAGGGCCTAAAACTCAGTGCTAATATAATAAAAACTGCATTAGGCATTGGGGGGGCAGTTACTAGCTTTTATTTGTATATCTGCCATCTTTCTCATCTTTTAAGGAAACTTGTTAAACCTAAAACATACACAATGAACATATATCTCCCTCACAGGGGACAGTTTGTCAACCTAATCAAAATAAACGTCAACTCAAATCCCTAAAAAGTGCTTGTATGGATATGAAACACTGAAAGATAAAAAAGGTAAGGATGGCAACTGCAAAGTAGAATTACAGGTGGTGGGATTTTTTTTGTCTTTTCCTTTGTACTCTTAAATATTCTGCAATGAAAACAGTTTAATAAAAACAATTGTATACCTAATTCTATGCATATACAAGATGTTGAGATCAACAGATTTGGTGTTTCATTGAGTATGAGCTTGTACTAATCTATAATAGGACAAGCTACCCAATAGTGGGAAAGTTCGCCACTACACAATAACAAATTTAGTATTATGTGACTGAGAGATGCAGCAAAGTACATTTTCCAAAGACAGCTACGACATCTGTAGACTGACACTGCAACCTCAGGGCTCCCCACTGAAAATTACATTGCTGTGCCAACCTTGTACCCAAGTAGGATTCAACCAGCAGAGTCAGGTATCTTGAGATGCTGTCTTACTTCCCAAGACAAGCATAAAAAAGCAATGGGTGTCTCTCTGCCTTGTTTCCTGGTCACTAACTCTTGTATTTGGAGCCCTGAGCCATCAGGCAAGAAATCCAGTAACCCCAAGCTCGCCTTGCTTTCAAGGTCTCATCTATGAGCTCTGGTCATCAATCCTGTGTTCACATCATCCTTTGGACATGTGAGTAAGCAAGTCTTAATTCTTCCCCAGGCATCACAGGACAGAGACACCAACCATGCTGTGGGTCCTGTCTGAATCCCTGACAGGCAGCCTCTATGAACACAGTAAGGGCGGCCAGAGGTGGTAACACACAGCTGTAATGCCAGCTTTTGGGAGGCTGAGGCAGGAGGATTACAAATTTGAGGACAAACTAGGCTACACAACAAGTCTAAGAGCTGCCTCAAGTACATAGTGAGCCCCTGCCTCAGAAAAGGGGTGTGGGGGGCTTCAAGCCCTTAATTTTTGGATTAATTTGTTACACATTAATGACTGGAACAAGGTTTAAAGGAAAATAAAAGCAAACAGAAAAATCAGCCCCTATGTAAAACTCAGGCTTCAAAGTATACGCACAACTTTGCGGACAGTTTGTCAATAGAAAGCATGCAAAAAGAACTCTGCTCAGCAAAAATACGAGCTGTACATTTTATTGAACTCAAATACCTATTTACTTTGCTGAGTTTTTTTGTTGTTTTTTGTTTTGTTTTGTTTGGTACAGGGGATGGAACTCAGTCAGGACCTTGAGCTTACAGAGTAAGCAGAACCACTGAGCCAAATCTCCGGCCATATTTACTTTGACTTTATATTATTGTCAACATATTTCTAGTTTCCAATTTGTAATAATTTTGAACCCAAGATTTTTAAAGGGAGGACTGCTACGACCACAAAAAATAGGTTTGGGGGAGAGAGAGAACCCATATAAACCTCAAAAAATCTGTTAGAGGGATTAAAAAGTGGACTATAAAACCATAGTTCCTTAGCCAAGTGAGGGCCTCAAAATTGCAAGGTGAAGTACCCAATCAGCAATGTAGCTAATCAAATTAATGGAAACTACAGGTCTCTCAAAAAATTTTTTTAACTATAACAGAAAGCTTCATCATATAATTCGTTACAGATTCTTCTATGACTGCAATCACTCCCTACTGTTTTAAAAACTATTCCCTTCTCTTACTTATGCTTCAGAAAAGCAAGACCCTGAGCCTGGCTGAAGTTTCCAACAAATATTCATTTGGGAAAAATACCAAAACATAACAAATCTACAGAATAATAATAAAAAACTGTTCTCCGTTAATGGAACTACTTCTTTATCGATATAATACATGATCTTTTAGTAGCTAAGGTTTATAAGATTTTATCACCGTGAACTCTGAGCTGGAATGGGTATGTTTAACTATTGTATATAACAGATCTGTACATAGAAGTCTTTGTTGGTCTAAGTCAATGATCTCCAAATGCAGTCCCCAAACCAGCAACATCAGCATCTGCTTAGAAAATGTTAGAAATGAAAACTCTCAGGTATAACTCCACACGTAAGTCTGAAACTGGGGGTGGGAACCAGAAGTCTGTTTTATCAAGCCCTCTATATGTTATTCTGGGCACACAAGTTTGGAAAACATTTATCTTTGTCAATTACACTGTAATTTCCTTGTAACTGCCAAGTCCAGTAGAATCTGGAAATAAGAAACATTCTAAATCAAGCATATGATACTTTGTTACTTCAGAAACCACCACAGGGAAGCCCCAATTTGGAAATGTTACTTAGATTCAGCTTGAAACTAATGCAAAAACCTGAATGGTGGTTTGATTTCTTGATAAGCTTGCAGATATATTTTACCTAATTCTAGGCACTGCATAAGACTCAATTATGAACTACATACTGAAGGATTACTACACTTCATTCAAAAATAGTCATTTGTTAACACTTGCACTGAGCTGAAGCCCCTATTTGATTCAGAGCAATTTATTTTCAGGTTCTACTGGACTTCTTCCTAGAATATTCTGATTAAACTCAGTGACTATGAAAACTTGCACTAGAAACAGAAAACCCAGTAAGGCAGTCAAATGGCCTAATTTTCTACTTTTCAAAACTCAAAGTACAATGCCAGAAACTCCTTAAGTAGCTTTCAGAGACAAGGAAAGGGATATGGCATTGCACTGGCGCCAATACAACAATTTGCCTCATCTTTCAAAGAGTAGACTACTCAGAGATAAATTTCACCATCATAAGTGGCTTCATTCCTTGTCACTTCCTGTTGAAATGGTTTAAATCCCACTAGAGAATCTGTCCATTTGTTTCAAATTTATACACAGTATAAGACATGTCAATGTTGTTACCCTGACAGGTCTAACGAAATCATAGGGACAAATACAGGAATAAAGAGCTGCAGACAAACACAGCTTTATTCTTGACTAAGCTAGGACATGGCTGCCTAACATCTACTAATATTGAATACATAAAATGAATATTAACCTTGTTTTTCTGGAAAATGGAGCTATTTTCCTAGCATAAAAAAAAAAATCTTCATGAGAAATCCTACAACAATGTGGTTAAGGCTAAACTGTCCATTTTCCTTTTTGAAATATGCATCATAAAACTCAATTTAGTGCTCCTTTTTTCAACTAACAATCATCCCAAATACATTAAAAATTCATTTACAGCACCATACAAGCAAAATAAAAATCAGGTCATACCCCAAATTACCAGTCTTTGTAGAACCACACAACAGAGATGCGGTAATAATCAAAAGATGTTAAAAACTTTTTTAGTTGAGTCAAGTGATAACCCAAAAACAATTCAATGGCCAGCTTGACCACCACCACCACCCAGCTCCTGTTTCTTTGTTGCTTTTAAGAGCAGACAGTATTCACTATGTGACAAACATTCAAATTTAAACTCTGGGTTCCAGCTATTGCGACATTTCATTTCTACCTCTATTGGTCTTTTCCTCTTTTCCAACCAGAGATTATGCTGCCCAACCATAGTACATGTGTATCTTCCTTTCTCCCCCGAGTTCTTCATCTTTACTAGTTAGCTATTGAAAAGAGATTTTTAAATCAACACAGCAAGGGGGATATCCAAGACAGATGTCTTCCTAATCTTTGCCTCTTCACACTTACAGGCAAAAATTCCATATAGGAATAAATGAAGTAAATTTAACTATGCACTTTAAAAGAAACAGCAACACAGATGAGAAACTGCAAAAAAGTAACTATTCTTCAATTACACTTTTGTAAATAGTTACAGGAAAAATTGGAAGGATACAACATCTAAGAAAACTAAAAAAAAAAAAAAAAAACTAACAGAGCAATCAATTACACACCTGCTGTTCTTAAGGGATTAATATCTAAAAAATGAGGCCTAAAATATACAACAGAGCACCTACCTATATTTTATATATCCCGGTCAAATAAATCAATTCTAAAGCACTGCAAGAACATACAGGAAGATAAATGCAGACACAGAAAGATAAACATTTCATTTCCTCTCAGCTTTTC